CAAGGGGACTCACTCCGTCTGGTCCAGCAGACTTGCCTGAGTGAAGTCTCCTCATTTGCATCTCAACCTGGTATTGAGTGAAGGTGATGGGTGGGGGAGGGGTGTCAGGAATCTCACAGGAGGCAACATGTGACGAGAGAGGCTGGCACAGTGGTGTGGCTCTGGATTTTTTTTTTTTTTTTATTGCACAGTTCTGATATAGCAATGTTTTCAAAGCCTCTCATTATGGTCAACAATTAGAAATATCATGTTCCAGAGTCTGGTGACTCAGTGTTTATGTTTAGGGTTATGAATATGCTTTGTTTCAGTTAAGTTCTGGTTATATCTTTTGGAGTTTTCTAGTTCTTTGGTTTTGCCTCCATGTCTCCCATGTGTTACACGTCCCTTGTCTAGTTTCCTGTCTAGCATCTCCCCTGTCAGCTGTGTCTTCTTGTCAAGTCCGTGTCTCTGTGTCTGTGTCCTGTTTCCTGTTTTACTTTGACAGTCTTGCTTCCTTTGTTAATGTTTTCAACTTCCTGTCCATTTCGTTATGTCAGATTAGTCCCAGCTGTTGTCCTCCTGTTTCTCTTGCCCTCGTTTACTACCTGGTGTATTTAATCCCCGTGTTTTCCTCTGTCCGTAGTCGTGTCATTAACTACCCTCTCTGTGTTATCCTGTGTTCCTGATTAAATCTTAGTTCTCCATTTCTGGCATAGTTTCTAGTTTTTTTAGTTTTCCAGTCTGAGTTTCATGTGCTTAGTTTTTAACTGCACAATAAGCCGGCCTCCTTTAGTTAAATCTTTCGTTTCGTGAGTCTTGTATTTGGGACCTTCATCCTGCCTGCCACACAGCAAACCATCACAAGAAGTAAACAAAATGAAAAACTCACTATAAGGACCCTTAAAGTTAGCCAACACAAGTGATTCCTTTCATTTTGTGTTGATACATCTTTATTCAAGCTTTATAAAAGTATTGATTTCAGCCTCTTTTATATCAAGTTGTTGCAGCAACTCTACCTGGATGACATCATAGGCCACGGGACTGACGTAGCAACCATCATCTCTTGTCGGCTCCTTTCCTTGATCCCACTCTTTCTTTGCTTCATCCAATACTCGGTCAATAAAAATCATCAGGTCGCTCTAAACACACAACAACACACCGTTGTCACTATTATATCTACAATATTCTACGAGCTATAATAAAACAAACTATAACTTTTTTTGAACAGCATTCTAAAAACGTGCAAAGCAAATTAAACGTATGACAACAAATCCTTTGTTACCTGTTGTTTGCTGAGGTACTGCTCCTCCAGAGGTTTCAGTAACTCGTCAGGAAGCAGCTTTCCCAGCGCTTCAGTATTGATATTACTGGCCACCTCAGGTTTTTCAAGGATTCTGGTACACAGAGCAGATACAGCCCAAGTTGTATTTAGTCTACACGTCATTTGTTATTTCAGTTTAATTCACTTTAGTTCTACTTATATAGCGCCAAATCACTACATCAGTTGCCTCAAAGCACTTTGTATTGTAAGATAAGACACTACAATAACACAGAGAAAACTGCAACAATGAAACGACCCTGTATGATTAAACAGTAGGAAGGAAAAACTCCCTATTTACAGGAAGACAAGGTTCTGGGAGGGGCGGCCATCTGCTATGACCACTTGAGGGTGCGGAGAGAAAGACAGGATCAGATGTTGTGGAAGAGAGGTGGAGATTAATAATAACTCATGATTAAATGCAGAGTGGTTTAAAAACCAGTGAAAAGAGGTGAGTGCAAAAGAAACTCATGGGGAAGGCCCAGCAGCCTAGACCTACTGCAGCATAACTAAGGGATGATTCAAGGTCATCTGATCTAGCCGTTTATGCTTTGTCAAAAGTGAAAGATTTAAGCCTCATCTTAAAAGTAGGGTGGCTGTCTTCTGATTCCCAACTGGGAACTGGTTCCACAGAAGAAGAGCCTGAAAGCTGAAGGCTCTCCCTTCCATTCTACTAAGTGCTCTATTGCTGTGATATGGTACTAAGACGTCTTTAAGAGTAGATGAGATCTGATTATTGAAGACCTTTAATGTGAGAAGATTTTAAATTTGATTCTGGATTCAACAGTTAGCCGATGAAGAGAAGCCAGTATGGAAGAAATATGATCTCTCTTTCTAGTCCCTGTAGGTACTCCTCCGGAAGCTTTTTTGGATCAACTAGAAAGTTTTCGGGGAGTTTTTAGGACAACATGACCACAATGAATTGGAATAGTCCATACTAGAAGTAATAAATGCAGGAATTAGTTTTTCAGCATCAGTCCAAGACAGAATGTTTCTGATCTATGTGTATTAAAGGGCATATCTTGGTCAAAAATGACTCCTAGGTTCATCACAGTGTTACTGAAGGCCAATTGATCCAAAGTCAATATGGGTACAATAACCTCAGTTTTATCTCATTTTAGAAGCAGGAAATTAGAGGTCATCCATGTTTTTATGACTTTAAGGCATTTCTCTTTAACTAATTGGTGTGTGTCTGTGTAGCAATGACAATGCTATGCCTTAAAATGAAATTAGTCCCAGCTAAGAACCCTGTTGAACTCCATAATTAACCTTAATGTGTGAAGAAAACTCTACATTGACATGAACAAGTCTGTTAGATAAATATTATTTAAACCACTGCAGCATAGTACCTCTAATACAAACAGCATGCTCTAATTGCTGTGATTAAATATTATGGTCAATAGTATCAAAATTTAATACAGCGCATTAAGCCACCAGAAATGAATCAGAATCAGAATACTTAGGAAATTTTGTAAAATGGTTGCTTAATGTACTGAAATCAGCATGGTGGCACAGTGATTAGCACTGCTGCCTCACAGCAAGAAGATCCTGAGTTCATTTCTACCTGGCCAGGGCCTTTCTGTGTGGAGTTTGCATGTTCTCCCCATGTTTACCTGGGTTCTCTCCGGATACTTCAGCTTCCTCCCGCAGTCCAAAGACATGCAGTTAGTGGGGTTAGATTAATTGGTGATTCAAAATTGCCCATAGGCGTGAATGTGAGTGCGAATGGTTGTCTGTCTCTATGTGTTAGCCCTGTGATAGACTGGCGACCTGTCCAGGATGTACCCTGCCTCCCTCACTATGGTAGCTGGGATAGGCTCCACCCCCCACTCCCCGGCGATGCTGACAAAGATAAGTGGAAGAGAATGGATGGATGAAAGCCACCAAAAATTTGCAGCTAAAAGACAGGTGTATAAATAAATATAAATAAATCCCAGCATAAAAATAATATGGTACTTCAAACAAAAACTAATTGCTTACTCTGGATAAGATTCCTTCACCCATAGCAGGAGGAAACTGCAGTCATCCACAGAACCCACAGAACCCACAATCTTTCTGAGCCTGGCCTTGACAGTTTGATGGTACTGTCTTGCATAAAAGTTACAGATGTCCATCTCTGGTGGGTAGCAGTTGTTCACCTTCTCCACCACCCGCTGCAGGTCGTCCTTCAGCTGTTTGCCCATGAACTGGATAGTTGCCTGGATAGTTGACGGGTTCACCTGGTCACCAGTGGGGCTCGATGGATTATCCATACGCCCATTTACTAATTCATGAAGCACTTTGTCATGGTGCTTCTTCCACTCGCTGGGCCTCCAGGCTGGTGGAATTTGAGAATTTTGTTTCCACAGCTGGTCCTGCTCTTCCTCAAGGTTGATGGCTTTCACTGCAGACTTCAGAGCAGACGCTGATGCTTCCTCACTGCTGAGAGAAAAGCTCTGCTGCAGAATGTGCCATACATGCTCTTCAAGGGCTTTATGGTCTGCAGCAAGCTTTTCTACTGCTTCCTTGTTGCCCTCCGCTGTCTCCCAAAACAGATGTTTCTCACTGTCTATCAGTTGCTGAGTGGCTTCACAAAAGGCTTGCCTTTCAAGATATTCCTCAAAAGTAGGAGTCACTGGTGGACAATAACAAAGACAAATCTTTTTAAATTATCAGCACTATTTTATAGATGAATCATCCAGGCTCTGTTAAACTGCTTTGATACTTTCTCAAGTTTTCAGTCCTAAATATGAAACAGGTCAGAAGAAGAGTTTATAGCAATTATTATTTTATCGTTCCACAATTTTACTGTGGAAAACACTTTTATTTATAACATGTTTCCGACTGGATTTTTGGACCTCTGACCTTTATAACTATTTAAATACATATCCATTTTGATGTATGTCCAATGTTCCCAAATTAATTTTATTTTCACTTTTTTGGAAAAAAAAACTGATCAAAACAATTTTTCTCTTGATATCTATGATAGTAAACATTGAAACAAATCTTTCTAAACAGTGAAATGAATGGTGCACATGTACTATATACCCATAATTAAATATAATAAAAATAATTATAATTAAACTCATATCAAGTATATTTAAATGGGGTTGAACAAATAAAAAATATTTATACTTCCCACCTTTTTCGTCCATCGAGGAGGGTTTATCCTCGTCCCTTTTCTGTTTAAAAGAAAACTTTCTCTTAGAAGTATTGTTGGGATCTGAAACAAACAAAGTACACAGTTTAATGAAGTCTGATTAACAGACTGCAGAGATGATTTCAATCTTTTGTGATTTGTATGCAATAAAGATTGGCGATGGACACTCTAATAAGATTGTCTTTTAT